GAAAGCCTCAGCTGTAAGGTCTGCAGATATCCCAGTAGAAAGCAGAAAGGGCTTCCCTCACCCCCACCCTCAGGAGGTAGATACCAGAAGAGAGCAGAAAGAATGGGAGAGCAAGGGATGATGGAGGGTGGAACATAAGATCCTGAACCAGAGAAAGTTTCCCCTGAAGACAGTCCATTATATAAAGGGAGGGTTGTGTGCTGGCTCAGGCTGAGATTGGGTCAGAGATCACAGGTCTAGAGGAAGGAGAGAATTTAAGTTTGATGAACAAGTATATGTTATTTATACTGATAAGTTCAGCTTAGTCATATGAGGCAAAAATCAAGAATTTGAAAATACATGTCTGGTTTAAAAGGTGGGGGCAGTATCATCTAAGTGTAATGGGAAGGGTGTTTTTTTGCACTAGGCTGCTTCTCCAGAACACAGGCAATGGGACTTGATTTCTTTTATTATTGCTGGATGGCTGGGCTTGGGTGACATTAAACTCTTAGCAGCCTGATTTTGCATCCACAGAGTTGGGTTAGTCAGCATAATTTGTGCCCATTGAGAAAGTCTATGAATTTCTGACCCAGACACCTCTGGGTTCTGCTGGAGGAGCATTTGTGAATTTGAGAATTTCTTTGGGGTCTGTGATATAATTAAAAAATATATTTGATCTCTGTCTCCAGTTTCTGGCGCATATGTCCTAAACCCCTTGGAATTTCCTGAGTGATAGGATGTCTTTGGTTGTGCATAAGGAGCTTCTTTCTGGAAATATCCCATTATGCTAATGGAATAACTCAGAGTGGGACCTCTAGATAACTGCTTCAGGACTGGTAACTAGACAGCTTTGGACTGGCATCTACAGTGGGGGTGGTGTGGTGAGATTGCGCACTGAACTAGTATGGTCTCTGTTAACTCTGGTGTCAGAGTAGAATTGGGGCACACTCAGTGGTGTTTGATAAGTACCATGCATTTTGTACCTGAAGTGATGTCACAAGTCAGAGCTTTAAACTGGGTGAGTGGTCCTTGGTGAGAATTGGGACAATGGAGGACTGTGAGGATTGGACAGTAGGGTGTATGGAGTCCCTAGAATTCATTTACGGGCTGCTCAGGCTTTCCTCACTCACAGCCTAAATGTGAGCCACCCTGGGCCCAAGCTTAGGGGTGTGGATTCTCTTGTGAATTCTGGCTAAAGTGCTCATCTTCTCTGAGCTGCTCCCTTTTGTTTCCTTTGAACAGCTCAGGCTTAGTTAAGCAGTGAAGAATTGTATGTATTTCAAGATGCAAATGTAAGACTTTTATTTTCTTGGTTTGAACCTGAGTGGATAGAATGATAAGGTCTGGAGAAGCAAAGAGAATTCTTGAAATAAACTGTTTCATACTAAGTTTAAGAATATAAGCACCCACAGCGTCACCATCCAGGTAGAATGGTGGTTAATTTTGGAGTGTCTCCCTACTCTCACCTACCTCCGTACCCAGAGATGACAATAATTCCTACTTCTTGAAGTTCTTTATGGCTTTACCCTGTATTTATCATGAGGTAGTTTTGCTGGGTTTTACCTCTTTGGCTTTTTTTTTTTTTTTGGAACTGGGGGTCAAACCCAGGGCTTTGCGAATGCAAGGCAGACGCTTTGCCACTGAGCTATATCCCAGCCCGGTTTTACGTCTTTGGGATTTTGAAGGTGTTAATAGTACACTTAAGATCCCATTCCTTTGTACTGAAAAGCTCTTGGTTCTTTGCCTGTCACACACATGCTGCTCCTAATGCAGAACCTAGATTCACTTATTTTGGGATTTGGATGGTTTGGGGGTTTGTTGTTGTTGTTGATGGGGGGTACCAAGGATTGAACTCAGGGGCTCTGAGTTAAATCTAAGTTCAACCACTGAGCCACATCCCCAGCCCTATTTTGTATTTTATTTAGAGGCAGGGCTCACTGAGTTCCTTAGTGCCTTGCCAGTTGCTGAGGCTTCGAATTCTTGATTCTCCTGTCTCAGCTTCCCAAGCCGCTGGGATTACAGGCCTGCACCACCATGCCCAGCAGGGGTTTTATTTTTGATGTTGATAATATCATTCTCAGTTTTTGTTCCCAACTGCTAGAACACCGCTGATTTTTTTACACAATTGGGGAAAATGTTGCCTTTTACATTGTGACTAATTTAATCTAAGATGTCAGTAGTTGTTTATGGATGAATGCACTGAACTTTCAAGCATATGTATGTATGCTTGTGACTTACCCTTGGAATTATCTAATTTATTTTATTTATTTATATCCTTTATATCTGTATGATTATACATTGCTTTTTACTGATCAGTATTGCTGTTTAAACCTTAGATTTCTATTTTTTTGGTATTGGGAATTGAACCCAGAAGACCTTAAACACCAAGCCACATCCCCACCCTTTTTTTATATTTTATTCAGAGGCAGTTGCTTAGGGCCTCGCTGAGTTGCTTAGGCTGGCTTTGAACTCCTGATTCTCCTGCCTCAGCCTTCCCAGCCACTGGGATTACAGGTGTGCACCACTGTACTTGGCAAGCCTTTTTTTTTTTGGCTCCCAGGGATTGAACTCAGGGGCACTTAGCCACTGAGCCACATCCTCAGCTCTATTTTGTATTTTATCTAGAGACAGGGTCTCACTGAGTTGCTTAGTGCCTACTGGGTGGGGCCCCAGAGAGCCTCTTACTTTTTCATGAGGTTTATTGTTTTTGCTTTTTTCTTGTTTTGGGTATTATGTGAATGATGTTGTGGTTTTAAATTTCATATCCAATTGTTTATTGTTGATATATTACAAAATGATATACTTTTGTCCCCTCTGTTTATATTCTCTCTCCTGGTATGAGTATTAGCAGATTGTTTCTTTCCAGAAATTGGTTAATTTCAGACAAGTTAGTAAATTTTTTGGCATGGAATTGTAATATTCCTTTGTGGTTTCTTTAATGTTTATGGAATTAGTGTCAGTGATCCCCTCATTATATCATTGTGGTGGTTATTGTGTGTTTTCTCCTTTTTCAGTTAGTTTGGCTGGGGTTTGTCAATTTCATTGATTATTCTTCGCCCCCCCCCCCCCACCGCCGCCAAAGAAACAGGTTTTGGAGCTCAGCGTGGTTGTGGCACATGCCTGTAAACCCAGCAGCTTGGGAAGCCAAGGCAGGAGGATTGCAAGTTCCAAACCAGCCTTGGCAATTTAGTGAGGGCCTATCTATAAATAAAATACAAAAAGGGACTGGGTATATGGCTCTGTGGTTAAGTGCCCTAGGATCAATTCCTGGTACCAAACAAGAAAAAGAAAAGAAATAGGTTTTGGTTTTGTTGATTTCTTTTTTCTTTTCTTTTTTTAATATTTTTTAGTTGACACAATACCTTTATTTTTATGTGGTAGTGAGGATTGAACCCAGCGCCTTGCATGTGCTGGGCAAGCACTGTACCGCTGAGCCACAACCCCAGCCCTATTTTTGTATTTTATTTAGAGACAGCGTCTTGCTGAGTTGCTTAGTACAAATAAAGGTTATTGTGTCCACCTAAACTAAAACAAATATTAAAAAAATAGATAAAATAAAGATATTGTGTTCATCTGCAACTAAAAACTTTTTTTTAAAAGAAATCTATGGTTCAGTCTGTAGTAATTTGAAGTTTCTCCAACTATATTTCTGCTGTTGATTTCCACTTCAGTTCCAATATGCTCTGAGAGCATACTTTATATGATTTCTGTTCCCTTAGATTTGTTGTGGTGTGTTTTATAGCTCAGAACATGGTCTATATTGGTGAGTATTCCATGTAATCTTGAGAATAGTGTATACTCTGTAGTTGTTAGGTGGAGTATTCTGAAATATCAAATGGCTTCAGTTAATGGATGATACTTAATTATTATTATTATTATTTTTAGTTTTCGTTGGACCTTTATTAATTAATTAACTTATATGCAGTGCTGAGAATGGAACCCGGTTCCTTACACATGCCAGACAAGCACTCTACCACTGAGCTACAAACCCAGCCCTAATGAGTTTAATTCTGTTATGACTATTTTTGCTTTATCTGTCAATTACTAATATGTCTGTAGAAGTCTTCAAATATAATTATAGATCTATATTTTCTTTGTTTTAAGTTTGGGTTCACATAACGTGACTCTTAGGAGCATACATATTAAGGATTATTATGTCTTTTGGGAGAACCTACTGCTTTATCATTATTTGATCCCTGTATTCCTTATAATTTTCCTTGAACAGTTACTGCCTGATTAGTCTGAATTAATATAAGCACTCCAGCTGTTTATTTAAATATTTATTTAAATATTTAAATATTTATTAAAAATTTAAATATTTTTTTAGTTGTCAATGGACCTTTATTTATTTATATGTGTTGCTGAGAATTGAACCTAGTGCCTCACACATGCTAGGTAAGCACTCTACCACTGAGCCACAACTCTAGCCCCAGCTGTTTTTTCAGTTAATGCTAGAAACCTATCTCTCTGCATAACATATTTGATGTCTTTGTCTTTATTTTTATTTTATTTTAAAAATATCCATATACTTTTCATTGATACATAAAATTGAATTCTTATAATTTAAAACATCATGCTTTGAAATATGTATCCATTGTGGAGTGCCTAAGTTGAGCTAACATATCTACCATTTTTTGGTGTATGGAAAGGATGCTTAAAATGCAATCCTTTGATTTCCAGAGTACATTATTATCTAGATTGTGTTCAAATTCAAACAATAGGAAATACCAATGGAGTGGGTCCAGTGATCTTCATTCATCATAATGACTTGCTGTGGACATTGACACTTGGCACTATCTTATTGGCTAAATTTTGTACTTATGATTATGAAATGGGACCTACTTGACTGTTGATTTATTGACTACTCCTTCATTGTCAAGGACATGGATCTTTTTCCATGTATGGTATTTTTATGTACCATTAAATACATTATGATCATTTTCCCAGGTTGGTTGGTTGGTTTTTATGCCGGGGATTAATATCAGTGGTCTTGAGACTTCATCTAAGGATGAAGTCTCAAGACCACTGATATTAAGTCTGTTGCCTACACTACGTGGATAGATGCTATAGGTCCATGGTACAAGGAGATATTAGGGATGCCCCAGCAGTATATTTGAACTCCCCAATGTGACAAATGTTCTCGTTCTGCTATTTCTGTATAGAAGCATTCAAATCTAGCATCAGAAAAGCTGTGTGAGAGAACATGGGTATGGGCAGAGAAAGAATGTAACAACCAAGTCATGCAATAAACGTTTGTAGTTTGCAGCCTTATGTGACCTTGTCATGAATTGAGTACAGGACCCCAGGAGCTGTCAGACTCACCCTTCCTCCTGAAAACATATTTGGGATTCTTTTAGGGGTCAGTGACCTCTGAGAATGTGGCTGTGAACTTTACCCGGGAAGAGTGGTCATTGCTAACTCATTCCCAGAAGAAGCTCTACAGAGCTGTGATGCAGGAAACCTTCAGGAACCTGGCCTCTGTAGGTAAGGGTGAAATCATTCATTCACCTAGTCAGTTAGGGAACAAGTATTCATCAATGCTGTTTAAAGATTTGGCATATGAAAAGGGAATGCTTTGGTAAAAAAGTCAACATGATCTCAATATAATGTGGACCTACGTTCTTAGAAATTTTCTGTGATAATAATTCATAATGATTTTTCTGGGTCTACATTTTAGGACAAAAATGGGGGTATCAGAACATTGAAGATGAGTACAAAAATCCGTGGAGAAATCAATTTTTAAGCTAATATATATATTAATGATTTGAATTCACAAGAGAAAGCAGCATTCCTCAAGAAATTTGGAGTGAGTTGGAAACATTAACATTAAAACATTGCAATCAAAACAAATAAGCCCAGTTTCAAAATTATTTTCTCTCAGAATATTTTCTCCAGAACTAAATACAGGTTGAGCATCCTTACTCCAAAAATTCAAAATTTAGATGCTGCAATATCCTAAACTACTTGAGCACCAGCATGATGCTACAAGTGACATTTTCTCATGATTTAATGTACAGAAACCTTATTTCATGCACAACATTATTTAAAATGTTGTATGGAATTACTTTCAGGCTTTGAGCATATGGTATATTATAAAACCTAAATGAATTTGACCTTTTCTCTTGGGTTCCATCTCCAAAATATTTCATATGTATATTCAAATATTTCAAAATCTGAAATTCAGTGCACTTCTGGGCCCATGCATTTCAGATGAGGAATACCTAACCTGTACTTAAATGTGACTTAGATGGTCAGTGTTTGCAAAATAGTTAAGTTGGAAATAGTATCAAGAAACCCCAGTGAGGGCTGGGATATAGCTCAGCAGTAAAGCACTTGCCTCACATGTGCAAAGTCATGCATTGGATCCCAGTTCCAAAAATACAATTTAAAAAGAAAAGAAAAAATCCTCCCAAAAACCCCAATCAAGAAACCCAGTGAATATCACTGCTTTGACAATATCTGTTGTTGAACCATCTTGCCAAGCAGTCAGTCCATTCAAGTTCCCTTGGTTTATATAGGTATAAAGCCTACACACTTCTTGATGGTGTTAACATGAAAGCTAATATATATTAATAAATGTAAAATCACTAATAAGCAAATCCTTTATATTGTGCTGCTTTTTTGTTACAGAAGTCAAGTGGTAGAGAGACTCGATGAATATAAAAAAAGTAGACAGTGTGAAAAAATGTTCAGCCAGACTCCTCCAGATCATATTCTGAACAAGAAAACACTTCTTGGAGTAAAGACTCATGAAAGCTGTGTGTGTGAAGTGGCCTTTGGTCATTCATCCCTTAAGAGGCACATCACATCTGACTCTACATGCAGACGACTTAAGTATCAGGAGTCTAGAGAGAAACCCTATGAATGTAAAAAAATGTGATAAAATCTTTAAGTGGCCCAGTTACCTTCAAGATCATGAAAGGTCTCATACTGGAGAGAAACCTTACGAATGTAAGCAGTGTGGGAAAACCTTCAGTCTTCCTGTTTATTGTCGAAGACATGCACAAACTCACACTAGAAAGAAACATGTGTGTGAGCAATGTGGGCATGCTTTCAGATGTTCCAGTGCCGCAGTCTGGCTGGGCACAATCAGGAGCCACTTGTCAAAAGAAACTAACTTTATTTTTAGAACCACACACGCCAAACAAAACAGCCTCTCAGGAAAAACCCTCAGAGCCTCAACTGCCACCACCGGCTTTCCACAAGCCTCTCTCTCCAACACAAGCTTCTCTCCACCTCCCACAATCCTCCTGCTCTTGAGGCCCATTGGCTGGGTCACGTGGGCAGAGCCAAAAAAGTCCCCCATTGAGCAGCTCCGTGGTCTGAAAGGGCAGGGAAACAGCCCAATGAGCATCACCGCAGAGGAGCCAATCAGCTAGATGTTGCTGGGGCCGCTGTGAGCCAATCATCAGCCGGCAGCTGGAAGTTTGCTGGCAGCTGGAAGTTTGCTGGGGCCCCTTTGGCTGTGGCTCTCAACATTCCAGTTTCCTTCAAATACATGAACGAATCCACACTGGAGGAAAACCTTACATATGTAAGCACTGTGGGAAAGCCTTCACTTGAGCCAGTACTCTTCGGATACATGAAAGAAATCACAGTGGAGAGAAACCTCATGTACATAAGCAATGTGGGAAAGCCTTCAAAGAGTACAGTAAAATGCAAAGACGTGAAGAGATGCACTCTGGAGGGAAAAACTATGTAAGCACTGTGGGAAAGCCTGCAAGGGCTCCAATAATTTAGAAAAATATGAAAAGATTCACATTGGAGAGAAACCCTATTTGTAGCATGTGGGAAGGCTTCATTACCATACAACCATTGTAGCACACATGAGTATGCAGAGTGGAGAGGACTCAACGCCACAGCTCTCATCATCTTGGTTCAGTTCACTGATATAGAAGAACATAATGTAGAGAAACACTGCTTCAATAGAAGATGCGTGGAAGTTTTCAGATGGCCTACATGTAAGGATGCGCACTGGATCAAAGCCCTGTGAATGTGAAAAATATGAGAAAGTTGTCAGTTGTGACAAATAGTTTGAATATCCTATGAAAATTCCTCACGCTGTGAAATCCTATGAATGTTAAGAAATCCTATGAATGTCAAGTCACGTGAAGAGCCTAATACAAAGTAATTTGTGTAAAATGCTGTAGAAAATATCCTACTTGAAGCAAACTTTCTAAAAGTTGTGAGTATTGTGTTCATCAGTGGCTCATCTTTTTTTTTTTTTTTTTTTTTGGTACCAGAGGTTGAACTTGGGGGCACTCGACCACTGAACCACCTCCACAGCCCAGTTTTGTATTTTATTAGAGAATTTAGAGACAGGGTCTCTCGGAATTGCTTAGTGCCTTGCTGTTGCTGAGGCTCGCTTTGAACTCACAATCCTCCTACTTCAGCCTCCCGAGCCGCTGGGATTACAAGCATGCATCACTGCACCCAGCTAGATTCTCATATTCTTTAGCTCTAAATACTTGAGGGTTCCCATCCTGAATCCCTCTCTAATGCACTTTCCTAACTCTACCCACTAGACTCCATTACTCATGATACCATCTATTCCTCTCTAAAGTTCTATTATGTGACTTGCTTATTAATACCTTTTTGTGTCCCTGGCTCACCAGCTCCCCCTCTAGAATGTCCACTCCCTGGCACCTGGACACTTCTTTTGTTCTCGGCCCCATCCCCATGCCTTGGCACATACCTCCTGAATGGCTACTGGAGATTCCCAGGATGAGCCCATGGTGGGCTTCTTGGGAAGAGACCTGCAGAAGCCTCAGGCCCCAAGGAGATACCCTTTTAGTCATAGAGATAGTCACACAGCCAACTCTGGGCAGGGTGGAGTACCAGAATGTTGAATTTGGGTATTTTCCTGAATTGATCATGCAGTATGACATTCTTCCCAGTCAGCATTGTGATCAGGAAATGGTAAAGAACTGATGAGTCTGTGCTGTACGATATTCAGTAAATTACATGACATTTTCAACACTTCTGTAGAAATCAGACCTTGTTCAATCATTTTCCCCAGGTGAGGCTAATGGAAGTGCTCTGAGCATGTTCAAGGTATGTAGAGCTAAGCTGTGCTGTCCAGTAGATGAGGTGTATTAAATGCATTTTTAACATGATGATGGGTTTATGAGGGTGTGACCTGGTCCTAAGGGAAGGAACTTCTGTCGGCTTGTTAGTCAGAGTCTTTAATGACGTGGTGATCAGCACAGTGCCAATCTCAAGAGATTGTTTTCTGAGTTGCACGCCAGAGTGTTTATGAGTAGCTCCCAGAATAGACTGAACGGTCAGTAAATAGTGGTGTCCTTGATCTTGGAGTGCATGGCTGTTTAATTGGTTTTCCTGTGTTTGTAAGTGAAAAATCTTAGAACTATAACTTCTTGGAAATAAAAGTCAGAGCTCAGATTCAAACTTAAAATGGACATGTAGTCTTATGCTGTGGTCTCAGTGTTTTCCTCAAAGTCCTATGTGGGAAACTTAGTCCCCAATGCAACAGTATTGTGAGGCAGGGCCTTTGGAGAGGAGTTTGGATGATGGGGGATGTGTCCTCATGAATGGATTGATGCCGCTCTAACAGGTTCATGGAAGTGAGTTGTTTCATCTTGCCCCTTTGCCATCTGCCACATGAGAATGCAGCAGGAAGGACATGTCCAGGTGCTGGTATCATGATATCAGACTTCCCAGCCCCTGAAAGTGTGAGAAAATAAATTTCTGGTTCTTTAGGAATTCCCCAGTCTCGAATGAAGCTGACCAAAACAAAAATTGAATGGAAGAAAGAAATGAATTTTGCTGGAACAAATAACCTAAAATGTGGGTGTGGCTGTGGAATTGGGTAGTGGATAGATGCTGGGACAGGTTATGTGTGTTTGTGTGGGGAGGGTGCTGGGGAACCAACCCCACAGCCTCACACATGCTAGGTAGACACTTTGCCACTGAGCCAAATTCCCAGTGCAAGGCCAGGCAGTTTTGAGTCGTTGTCTTTGCTTTTCTTTCTTTTTCCTTTTTTTTTTTTTTTTTTAACCAGACAAAGGTCCTGCCAAGTTCCCGAGGCTGGTCTCAAATTTGTGAGAACTTGAGATCCTTCTGCCTCAGAGTTAATGTACATATATTTATAATGTGTCCAAATGGAATAATATTAGAGAATTTTTTCTGGTTTTTGATGTATTCGGTCAGTATTGTTTACCAGATAACGTATATCGTGTGTCTTTATCTAGTTCCTGCCAGAGCAACATGTGAATGTGAAGAATGAAATCCACAGAGAACAGGGTGAGAGCAAAAAACAAGATTTATTTGAATAATAGAAGCAGAGGTCCTGAAGAGGAAGGGGTCCCAAGAGAGGGATGCCAAGGGTCTCTGTTGTCTAGGGTGTTTCATGGGTTTGATCTGTCCCTATATTTGATTGGTAGGGAATAGGATTCAGAAAGGGGCCAATCAGCTCAGTATTTCAGCAAATCTAGGAAAAGTAATTTTTAAGCCTTTATTAACATAAGGGTGGGGGTGTGGGTTTGTTGGCAAAAGAGGAAGGATTTTAGAGAAGATTAAGTGGTTAGCCATTGCTAGGGGTAGGGTTAGGCATAACTAAGGAGCTGTGTGGCTGAAGCTGTTAGGGGCAGCGACAGAACATTCCCAGGCCCGATGTCTCCTTCTAGGCTGGAATGGCCTCATTCCCTCTTTCCAGTCTCTGAGGCCTTTACCCTGTTGGCTTATGGATGGTCTGTTTCTCTGCATCACCATGGTCTTTCCTGCCTTCTACCCAGTAACAGTTCCCTCACTGAAAGAAATGCTTCTGGGAACATCGACTCCAATGCTGCCTTACAAACAGGTGTGAGAAGGCATCATAGAGACCCAGAAGCACATTTCCTGGTATATAGTGCACATGTGCATTTCCACCACTCTACCCTCCCACTGGCAGTGTGCAAGGATTCCTTATTCCTCCTATCCCAACCCTTGTCTGGAGCTTCCTCGAATGAATGCACCTTTAAGTCCCGATGCCCTGAGGCACTGAACAATTATTGTGTTCAGGCGGGCAAGGCTGCAAGGTCATGCCAGCTCAGATAACAAAGGCATGGCTCCAGGAGTAGGTGTCACCCACTGGGGTTGAGTTACACACACCTGTTCCTTTGTAATCCTACCCGTTTGTCCTTTTGGGGGGTACAGTATTCCATGGAACATCCTCCCCCCAATAAAACCCGGGTTCGAGGCATGTTCTCTCTTTCTTGCCTGCCTTGCCTCCTTTGGGGGAGCTGGGTCAGAGGAGCTGTCATAGAACCCGAAGGAAAAGGTATTTCTCTGTCTCTGTGCCAGCCCTGTTCACCTGGAGTGACCCTGACTGGTTTAGTCGTGTGTCGTGGCAAACCATCACTGGGTGTTCTCTAATTTGGAGAAATTCATTGATAAACAGTGAAATGCAATGGCCATTTTTAATTTCCTTCCTACATTCTTTCCTACCTCCCTCCCTCCTTTTCTTCCTTTTGTCTATCCTTCCTTTTGCTCAGGTAACCCTTCTGTCAATTATCTGCTCATATTCTGTGCTCATTTTTTGTATTGAGTTTCCTATGTCTTGATATAACTGGTTTCTTGTGTAAGATCAGGCGAGGCCGACAGCAACCAAAGGAGGTAGATTTTAAAAGGCTGCCAAAGGAGGCTTCATTGAGATATCACTCCCTGGTGGAACTTGATCAGACCGACAGAGTGAAGGGTCTGAGGAGAAACTGCCTGGGAGCTCAACCTGGACTGGGGTTTTATGGGGCTTAGGCAGGAAGGGAAGGGCTTGGGACAGGAAAGGTATTTTTAGAGTCCCTTGTCCCACTGTAGTTGGTCCAGGGAGCTGGCTGAACTCCACGATTGGCCAGGGGGTCCTGATGATTGACAGGCGTTAGTCAGGAGATCCTGCTGATTGATAGGCGTTTCTGTTGGTGCCTAATAGATGTTTCTTTCCCGAGGGCTGCTTTGTCCCAAGTCACCGCCACCGACCTGACATCTTGATTTTCAGTATTTTTCCCTTGTCACTTTTGGACAATGCAGACACCTTTTCCCAACTTTCCATCTGCCTGTTAATTTATCCAGGATAGTCTTTGTTGATCACAAATCCTAAATTTTGTTTTTCCTGTATCTTTTTTTAAATATTTTTTAAATTGTAGATGGACATAATATATTTATTTTATGTGGTGCTGAGATTCAAACCCAGTGCCTGACGCCTGCAAGGCAAATGATCTACCACTGAGCTATATCCCTAGTCCTTTTTCCTATATCTTTATAAAGTTAACTTGACACTTGTGGTTTCACCTATTTAAGAGGTCTTGTTGGGCTTGGTGGCACATGCTTGGAATCCCAGCTGTTTGGGAGGCTGAGACAGGAGGATCGTGATTTCAAAGTCAGCCTCAGCACCTTAGCAAAGCCCTAAGCAACTCAATGAGACCCTGTCTCTAAATAAAATCTAAAAATTGGTCTGGGGATGTAGCTCAGTGGTTGAGAGCCCCTGGGTTCAATTCCCGCTACCAAATAAATAAATTGATGACTAAATAACTTTTTTTATATTTCTGCTTTGATTCCTCACATGATAAATAGCAATAATTTAGCCAAAGCAAACAAAAGTCCTTTAGAATTCTCCATAGTCATTGTGTGCACAGGGAACTGGAAAGTAAATGTTTGGGAGCTTATTTCTGAAATTAGGTGCAGAAGCTCATCCCTTGGAAAAACTGATCAATGAGAGTCAAGTGTTGAGAATGAAAGACTTTATTGAGGATGCTACCAACCAGGAAAGGAGGATGACTAATGTCTCAATTTGTTCTTTCAAGGTCTTTGGGGAGATGGAGAATGTTTATATGAAGATCAATTAGGGGAATATGAGCCGAAATCAGCACTATCTCAGGAACCTGAGCCAGGCAGTCTGTTTTTGGGTTAATTTTGTGATCAACAACCAGTTTCTGGAGTCAGCTCTGAAAAATAAACAAGATCACCAGAATGCAGATGAAGGCCCCATAGCTGGCCAATGAGAAAGGGAACTGGAATCAAGATGGGACCATTGATAGCAACAGTCTCTTACAGGGTTCCCTTTTCTTTCTAGTAGAAATCTGACCCAAAGATTAAGACAGCAAAGGACATACAGAGAGGTTTCAAGCCTTTTCATTGCTTTCAGCCGAAGTGAAGAGGAAGTATTTTCAGCAAAAGCAGTCTCAATCTCTGAATAGTAACCTGAGCAATCATTGACATCATAACCTACGTGACAGATGTGATCTACAACAAAGCTAGTGGAGACAAATAATGTAGTACCCCACTATTCAACCTTTCAAATTATGTCAAGTAAGAAAATCTAAAGCTACAGGGTTTATTTAGGTTTTTCCTTGGTAGCAAGCTTTCTAATTTTATTTTATTTTTGGTACCAGGGATTGAACCCAGGGGTGCTTAACCACAGACCCACATGCCCAGCCCCTTTTATTTTTATTTAGCAATAGGGTCTCCCTAGGTTGCTTAGGGCCTTGCTAAGTTCCTGAGGCTCTCTTTGAACTCATAATCCTCCTGCCTCAGCCTCCCAGGTCACTGGAATTACAGACGTATACCACCATGCCTGGCTCCCAGAGTATTTCTTTATAATTTGTGTTGATATTGGAGTCACTTACTTTTAAAAATTTTTTTTTATTTGTAGTTGGACACAATATCTTTATTTTATTTATTTTTACGTGGTGCTGAGACTCGAACCCAGAGCCTCGGCTCTATCCTTGAGCCACAACCCCAGCCCTAGGAGCCACTTACTTTTATGTAAATAATATGTTGATATATTTTGAATGATATTTACTGGTGTAAAAGTATGTGAAATGTGATTTTTGGCAGTTGTTTTTGTCTCTGGCAACACTGTGTTCCCTGTTGTCATTCTAATGTATTGCATCTTTATTTTCTTAATTAATTAATTTGGTATAGGAGATTGCCCCCACCGGCACTTTACCAATGAACTACATCTCCAGTTTTTTAGTTTTTCTTTTTTTCCCCATTTTGAGATAGGGTCTCCCTATGTTGCTTTGCTCCTGTCCCAGAGGCTGTGATTCTGACTGTCAGGGAGAATAGAGGGCTTTTAAAGAGGTAATGGCTACATTCTAGATACTCTCTGTTGATGTGTAATTAACTTGTTAATGTGGGAGTGTCATTTCTTAGATCTTCTGGTACCATCCCTGAAGTCTGAATTACTTAGTTTTTGTGGTTGATGTGTGCTTAAGGACAGATGGCCCTGCCCAGGATAGGGAAGAAAGGTAATCCTATTTCCCCTGAGATTAGGGATTTGGAGAGAGAGAGAGGAAGAGAGAGAAACTTGTCTGTTTTGAAAATAATTTACAGTAACAGCAGCAAGAGCTATATTCAAAGCATAAAGTGAACCATTATTACACATTTATAGGTTATAAGTCTGTTTTCTCTGTACCTGTTTTCTGGACAACATTCTGATTTTGGCATGCATGGAGTTACTGTAGTCAACCTGTAATTTCTATGTAAATAAAATCTTTTTAAGGTCAGGCTTAGAGAAGGACACATTTAGGCACTATCCTGGAGAAAGTTTATGAATTTGACAGCTTCTTTCTGATCCCTGAATAACTTTGATATGTTTAACCTGAGTTCATGTTCTCTTTGTGACTCTGGACATAGAGTATTGCTGCCACAGAACTCTATAGTTTCTTTACCTATTTAATCTCTTATTGGCACCTTTATTTTCTTGGCTGAAAAATAGGTAGGTTAGAAGGAGGAGTAAAAAGGCCTTGACCATGAAGTCAGCTGTCTCTGTTCCAGTGAGGCCTGTCCTGGCCTGTCGAGGCACCCCTCCTTCTTGAGAACAGGGTTGTCTGCATGGGACACTGAGTTTGGAATCCCCTGAGCACACCTGTGGCCCCATTTCCAGGAGGAACAAGAAGGGCCCACTGAAGAAGCAGCCAGAGCCCCCGTGGAAAGCCAGGAGCAAGTTGTGCTTCTGTGCACCGTCTTGGGGCTGCTGCTGGTCGCGGCCTGGGAGAAGTGTGGCCTGGGGAGAGCTCTGGTTGGAACTCACAGAGGTTTCAGGCAGAGAGGGAAGGGGATCGCCGCTTCGTTCCGGCGGCGCGCTCAGGGCGGGTCTTTGACTGACAGTCAACTTCGGGGGCGGGACGGAGTTGCAGAGCGGTCCAATCAGGAGCGCCGGCGGGAGGTGGGTCCGCTCCGAACCGCGGGACCTTCCGTTCTGGCTCCGCCATCTTTGAGACTGTGGGCTCCCGAGGTTGCTCTTCCTGTTTGGCCTTGTGACCTCCTTTGACTTCGGCAGCCGTGAGGCGGACAGCAGGACACCCAGAAGCAGGGAGATGGTGAGTGTGCGGGGCCCAGGCGTCCCGGACGTGGGCACAGGGCCTGGCTGGGACGGGGACCCAGCGAAACCCGCTCCGCTCCATAGGTGCCTGGAACCGCGCTCGGCCCTCGGTCCCCTGGTCCCTTCTGTTCCGCGGGGCGGGGCCGGCCGCGGGGACCGGCGTTCGCTCGGCCCTGCGCGGCGCCTTTACCTGGTCCTGAGCCCTCTGCCGGGCGCAGGCGCGTCTCCCCAGGCTGTGCGGTGACGGCGGGGGTCGGGGACCCGGCGGGAACCCCCACGTCTCCTGGGACTCCCCACGTTGCTAAGCTCGGTGGCGAGGGCGTCCCGCGGACTGGCTGGGAGGGGAGTTTCCCCCGTGTCATTGTTATAGACGGTTCCAGACGTTGTTTTTAAAAAGGAAACGCTGATTAAAGGAGGACCTGACTTCATTTGAAAGGAGCATTGCAGTAGGGCGAAGCCCCAACTATAAGGTTCCGAGCATCTCACTGGATAAGTAGAAAAGGGACTTTTTTCCTTGGGAGAAGAAGATGGGAGTAGAAACTAGGTTGGAGGGGAAGATGGAGATGGCAACGTAAGCTCCTGTTCTTAGGGTGACAATAAAGAGATTTTGTGCTGGCTCAGGTTGAGGGTGAGTCAAGGATCCCAGGCTTGGAGGAAGGAGAAACCACCAAGGAAAGTTTGCCTAACGGTTTTGTTTCTATTAATCACTTGAGCTGGCAATTTTTGAGGCAAAAAGTGAGAATTTGGAAACTGTGTCTGGCTTTGTCATAGGTAAGGTAAAGGGACATCAGGTAAGTGGAAGGAATATAGTGTTGTTTGCACTAGGCTGCTTCCCCAGAGTACAAAGCATTATACAGGGGATTTCTTTAATCACGACTGGTTTCCAGGATTTCAGCAGTTACATGAAATTAAATCTCTTCAGCTGTTTTTGCATCTACATAGTTGTTCTTGTCAGAGTGTAATTTGTGTCAGTGAGGACCAGTCAGAGAAAGAAAACTTTGGGTTCTGCCTACTGGAGAATTTCATATTTCATTTTGATGTATAGAAGAATTTTTAAAAACAGGTCTTTGTCCCTGATTGTGGCACAGAAAACCTAAAACCCTGGAATTTCCTGAACAATAGGAGTATCTCTGGGTGCTTATCCTCATCCTCTTTTAGACAGTACCTGAATTTGTGCTCAGGAGTTGACTCGGTACCACCCTTCTGGCTTCAAAATGGGGACTATTGACCACACAAGCAAACACTTGCTTTGTGTTCACATCTGCACTGGGGTCAGTATACTGGGACAGAGCCCTGAATTTGCAGGGACCGTATTAAGTCTTGGTGGTATCAGAATTTAATTGTTTGATGCCCAGTTGGTATTGAATTGGTTAGCATTCAGTAAACACAGATTTAGTGTCAGAAATGATGTTAGAAAAGAGCACAGATCAGAACCTTCAAATGACTGAGAGAATGCTCGCAAGAATTGAACCTGTGTGTGAGGGAGCCTTTCCATGACTTGGAAAAGTGAAAAGCAGGGTATATGGAGGTTCCAGGATTCAATTTCCTGAATGTTCATGTTTCCCTCACTCACTCTCTGACAGTGGATGCCTGGGCTTCATCTGCGCAGTGACAGAATTCTGTAGGCTTAAGAATGTGTTTGCCTTCTGAGTTTAGATCCCCTTATGAACTGTGGGTGAAGCAGACTGCTGCCCTGAGCTGCTTCCCTTTTGTTTCCTGTGTAGAATCCTGTTTTTACAAAATAGCAGTGGTATGTTGGTGTATACCTGCAATCCCTGCAACTCAGGGTGTTGAAGCCAGAGAATCATGCATGGTTTCAGGCCAGTCTCAAAATCTAGAAAGGACTGAGAATGGAGCTGAATGGTAGTGCACCAGTGGATTCAGTCCCCAGTACTTTAAAAAAAAAAAAAAAAAGGGCAGTTGACTTACACATTTAAGAATTTTATTGAACATAAGATGCCAGCTTTCTTGACCTGAATGGATGGATTTAAGGAGATGTGAGAAAGAGAATTATTGACATGAATTACTTGTTTATAGGAATTAAGTTTATAAAGGTACATGGAATCGCTATGCAGGGGAATAAACAGACCGTAATCACTTCCAATGTGTTTCCCTGATCTCATGTAGCTTGGCATCCTTAGGTGACTAGAGGATGTATTTTTTGAACCTTCCTTATTGGTTACCATCTATTTATCATTATGAGATTTTTTTTCTTTTTTTTTAGGGGGAGGAGATTACCAGGGATTTAACTCAGGGACACTTGACCACTGGGTCACATCCCCATCCCTATTTTTTTATTTTGTTTAGAGACTGGCTTTGGGACATCCTCCTGTCTCAGCCTCCCAAGCTACTGGAATTGCAGGCTTATGACACCATGCCCAGCACTATGAGATTTCTCTTTTGTTGTTGTATCTTTTCCTTCATCTATTGCTGGTGTGATGATAGTTCCCTTGGTTCTCACTGCTTCTGGAACTTGGTTATTTCAGGTTTATTTTATTTATTTATTAATATTTATTTTTTAGTTGTAGTTGGACACAATACCTTTATTTTATTTTTTTAATGTGGTACTGAGGATCGAACCCAGGGCCTCACATGCTAGGCAAGCTCTCTACCGCTGAGCCCCAACCCTAGCCCTTTCAGATTTATTTTTTGATGTTTTCAACAATGTTTATTTTGTCCTCTAGTGCTAATATATCTTTTTTTTTTTTTTTTTAACAGAGTGGGAAACCTTTTTGTAAATTATGGACAAATTGAAATTGAATAGGAAATTGTGTCTGTATAAATTTATGATCTTCTGACCTTTCATGTTTTTTGTGTTTATTGAAAGGCTTGCTAACATTTGCAATGCTCTAATTTATTTATATTTTGGTATTAAAGAGCATCACTGTGGGATTGTATCTTTTTAAGATTTTTTTCTAGGTGATCTTCTACCCACCTCTTTTCTCTCTTTGTGCTGTATAAACAGTTTTGTGATTTTTTTTTTAAAAAAAATTTCTGATCCAGTTATATAGTTGATATGAAATAAAATGTATATTTGTATATTTAGCAACTATCATGGAAACTTGCTACAGTCCCTTATTAATTCCACAGGTGCTTGATTTTGATTTTTTTGTTTTTTTTTTTCCTACATAGACAATTTCACTTATAAACAAAGACAGTTTTATTTTCAATCTCAGAGCTTTCTTTTCTTGCTTGGTGTTTTCTATGTGTCAATGTGATTTTAGGAGTTTTGATATTTAGCTTGTAAATGTGATGGATTACATGAATTTATTTATAAATCTTCTATTAGGTTTCCATACTTAGAATTCACAGTTGGTTGTGGTACATATTTCTGTTTATGCCTTAATGGGATTTACTCTCTTCTGTGTTTGTTAGAAATATTTTCCTGTGGTTTGGGCTGGGGATGTGGCTCAAGTGGTAGCGCGCTCTCCTGGCATGCGCGCAGCGCTGGGTTCGATCCTCAGGCACCACATACAAATAAAAATGTTGTGTCCGCCAAAAACTAACTAAACAATAAATATTAAAAAAAAAAGAAAGAAATATTTTCCTGTGGTTTTTGTTTATTATAATGTCTCTAATTTTGATATCGTGGCAGTATGGGCCTCAGAGCATGAAGTAGTGTTACTACCTCTTCTATTTCCTGAAAAAGTTTGTAGATGATTGGTGTCATATTTTGATTACATGTTAGATGGAATAAACCAGTGAGAACATGTGGACCTGGTCTTTTTTGTATGATTATGTTTTATACTCTTTCAGTTTCTGTAATATACTCTATAATTTGCTATACTGGGGATGCAACCCAGGATATTCTACAACTGAGCTGCATTTCCAGCTCTTTTTATTTATTTATTTTTATTTTGAGACATTGTCTTGCTAAATCACTAAGGCTGGCCTTGAAGTTGAGATCCTGATGCCTCAGACTCCTCATCACTGGGATAACTGGTGTGTGCCACTGTGCCTGGCTGTATAGTCTCTTATGTATATTGTTTATCACTTCTGTGAGTTGTGTAGATTATTTCTATCCAGGAGTTGATTCATTTTATTACGTTTATGGACATATAATTGTTTAGAATATTTGTTAATGGTTCACTTAATATCCAAGGAATTAGGTGGAATGTACCACTTTTGTTACCAAGGTTAGTAATTTGTGTATCTAACTAAGGCTAATTAAGACTTATCAATTTTGATGATTTTTCCAAGAGCCAGCTTTGGGGGGTATTTTGTTTTGGTTCTGGGAATTGAACACATGTGTATTTTACTACTGAGCCACATTCCAGCTCTTTTTAATTTTTTTATTTTGAGACAAGATCTCACTAAATTGCTTAGGTCCTTGCTAAGTTATTAAGGCTGGTGTCCAACTTATGATCCTTCTGCCTCAGCCTCCCAAGTCACTGGGATTACAGGTGTGTGCTTCTGCACCTGGCTCCAAATTTTTTAATGGTGCTTTGTCGTCATACATAGTGGTGGGATTTGTTTCGTACGTGCCTACAATATGACCATATAATTGGGTCACTATCATTCCCCAGTACTTCCCCTTTTTCTCCCTTCCTCCTTCCCCTCCCTAGTCCCTTTTCTGTATTCTACTGATCTCCCTTCACTTTTCATGAAATCCCACTGATCTTTTCTTTTTTCCTCTCTAGCTATCACACCTTTTGAGTTTGACCTGTTTCACTTAACATAATGTTCTCAGGTTTCATCCATTTCCCTGAAAATAACAATTTTTTTTTTTTCGGTACTGAGGATTGAACTCGGGGGCACTTAACCACTGAGGCACATCCCCAGCCAACAGGGTCTCACTGAGTTGCTTAGGGCCTTGCTAAGTTGTTGGGGCTAGCTTTGAACTTGTGATTCTCCTGCCTCAGCCTCCCGAGCCACTGGGATTACGGACTTGCACCACCATGCCCAGCTCATTATTTTTATTTTAAGACGGGTATCTCACTAAGTTCCGAGGGCTATCCTGGAACTTCTGATCCTCCTGCCACAGCCTCCCAAGCTGCTGGTATCATAGGTATGTGCCACCGTGTCTTTCTATGTGACTCCATTTTTAGATATTCGATTCAAATTCAGTATTTAACCTTTAACACTCCTTCTTCCCTTTGTGCCCCACATCAAGATAAGGTGATCAAAAGCCTGGCACTGCTCTACTTTGCATTGCCAGGAGCCTGAAACCACCCATACCTATGTCCTTGTAACTGGAGTGAATTCTCATCAAAACTTCTGTGTTAATAACGTATAAAACTCCCAGGCCGGACTCATTTCTTCCCTCTCTTAAGGCACTTGCTACTTGTTTGAGATGCTTATCCTACTCTCCCTATGCCCTCAATTATATGAATAGTGAGACTTTGGCTGTCCTTTGGTTTTGTATTCTTTCTCCTCATCAATGTCAACACCAGAACCACACCTCTAAAACTAACCAAAGCTATAACCACTTTCTGTGTCTGTCTTTTCTTGCTTTGATTTGCTAACCTGGTCTCCTACCTGATGGCCAACATATACTGGACCTCTGCTTTGAAGGGATTTTGTTGCGTTAGACCTGTGCTTCTCTGTTGCTGCCCAGTGTATAAATCTTGACTCATGTTGCCATGTTTCAAGGAAGAAAAACATATAAATAAATATGTCTTTCCTAAATTTAATTTTTGTGTGTAGAGGGGAGGGTTCTAGGATTTAACCGAGGGTGCTTTACCACTGAGTTCCATCCCCAGCTTTTTTTGCCTTTTTTTTTTTTTTTTTTTTTTTTTTAAGACAGGGTCTCACTAAGTTGCTGAGGGTGGCTTTGAACTTATGATCCTCTTGTCTCAGTCTTTCGAATCACTAGAGATTACAGATGTGTGCCACAATACCTGGCCCAAATTTAATTTTTTGTTTAAATAAATCATCATGAAGTACATTTAAAAACAGTGAATAGCCAGGCATGCTGGACAGGGTAAGGGAAAAGGATCATAAGTTCAAGTCCAGACTAAGCAACTTCAGGAAACCTAGTCTCAAAATAAAAAGAGCTAGGGATAGAGCTCAGTAGTAAAGAACCCCTGGGTTCAATCCCCAGTACAAAAGAAGAAGAAGAAGAAAAAGAATAAAAAATTTGGTAAGATTTAATAATACAATCTAAACTGGGAATCCTTGTTATGATTAATAACTTGAGGAAAAAGGGGGAAAGAAGATTTATAACTTGGATTGTCTCCATGTGGTCCTCTGACTGATCTTTTCCTGTCTTGCCCCAAAGGTATCTACTATCCTGATCCTTTGGCTATTTTTCCTATCTTTTAGCAAGTGTGGTTTTTCACTCAGCAATTATTTTAGCATTGTCTCCTTGGAACTTTCCATAAGTGATTATTAAAGGAATCACAGAAAAAGGTATTATGTGTCCTTCACTTGCCTCAATGTTTCTCACATGCTAGTATCAGGAGGGGGGGCAAATTATTTCCTCATCAGTTCCAGTGGCCACTATGTCAAGCTACTTCCTCAACCAAATCTGCTTTTTGTTTTAATATGTGGTTTCTTCTTCCTAAGTTTCATAATTTTGATCCTTCTTTGTTCATGTGTTCCTTCCTTGCCTTTTACTTCCCTTAATATTCATATACTAAAATTCCCAATCCATTTTTAGTGGCTTATCTCTCTTCTCTCTTTAATTTTTTTTTTCTTTTTAGTTGTAGATTGACTCGATGCCTTTATTTGTTTTTATGTGGTGCTAGGATTGAACTCGCTTGCTGAGCTACAACTCCATCCCTTTTTTTTTTTCTTTTTTTTTTGTACCAGGGATTGAACACAGGGGCACTTTACCACTGAGCCACATCCCTAGCCCTTTTTATTTTGATTCAAGGGCTTGCTAAGTTGCTTAGGACCTTGCTAAGTTGCTAAAGCTGGTCTTGACTTTGTTATTCTCCTGCCTCAGCCTCCTGAGTCACTGGGATTACAGGTGTGCACCACCATGCCTTGCTGGCTTATCTCTTTTTATGTAATTATTATTTCATCCAAAATATATTTGTTACTGACTTCTCAAAGAATTCAAGTTTTAACTTTCCCATTTCGTTTTATAATTTGATTATCATCCATGACATAGACGGGAATACTGTATAAAATTCAAGTAGACACCAGTTTCTCCCTGTCTCATGTATTGAGATTGTGATTTCTGCCACTCTTGTATTCAGTCTGGGCTATCATAAATTAATATTCTGTAATCTGTTAATCTGTGATAAATGTAGTATCCTGAATAGTATAGTAGGAAAATCTTTTATGTATTTTAGGTAAGCTATTAATTTCTAATTCCAATGATTTTGAATTAATTTTAAATTAATTTCTAGTTCCAATGATTGTTGGGCATTGATTATACCTACTAAATTGAGGAAAGTGGTTTTTGCTGACTAGTTAATGTATAAAAAGTGAGCTTTGGGAATTAAGAATTTTATTAATGTGTGTGAGACATCTTGAAGACATTGAACTCTATATTCATGTACTATCATTTCTTGTATTTCAGTTGTTCTTGGACATTGTCCAATAAAAAGTGTTTTCCATTAGCATAGTGAATTATTCCTCATGAGGCTTATTTAGTTTTTTTTTTTTTTGGAGAGAATTTTTTTAATATTTATTTTTTTAGTTTTCGGTGGATACATCTCTATTTTTTTTTTTTAATGTGGTGCTGAGCGCCTCCCACATGCCAGGTGAGCGCACTACCGCTTGAGCCACATCCCCAGCCCCTGTGAGGCTTATTTAGTGTTTAAGGTTGTTTTGTAAGAAACAATGTACAAGCTTCCAAAGGTTGTCTCTTAGGGACTAGAACACATCCTCTGGTATTGTACTAACAAGCAAGTTGTGACAAGTGGTGTAAATTGTACCTGTCAGACCAACTCCTTAGGGATTCTTCATCCAGAATGTACTTGGAGGGCTGATGACCATTCTGAATATTGAAAACATTCAGAGGTACAACAGATTATGAATGAGAACACATTGTTGGCATATACTCTCAAATTTCTCTCAGGCATATATAAGAATATGCAGTGGGCTGGGGTTGTGGCTTAGTGGTAGAGCGCTTGCCTAGCATGTGATTCTCAGCACTGCATATAAATGAAAGAAAAAAAAATAAAGGTCCAGGGCTGAGGTTGTGGCTCAGCAGTAGAGCGCTCACCTAGCATGTGCAAGGCCCTGGGATCGATCCTCAGCACCACATAAAAATAAATAAATAAAGGTATTGTGTCCAACTAAAATAAATAAATAAATAAAGGTTCATTGACAACAAAAAATATATATATTTTAAAAAAGGATATGCAGTATATGCAGTATCTGGACAGGTGGTGCTTACTGTCTTGGGTGCACTCAAGATTTTGTTCTGAGAGGTATTACAAACCCACTGCATAATAAGATATTGTTGTGACCCAGGAGCACAATGTGTGTTCCTATCCTGCTGTTAAGTTCCAGACTAGTATCAGAATTGTTGTGTGAGAGGAGATGAGTGTGGATAGGGAATTAGAGAGTGGTGATATGAAGTGAATTTTGAGGAATACAACATCATGTCAAATTTTAATGAAATGATTTCCCATCTCTGGTACTGAGTCTTACCCTTCCTCTTGGAAATATATGTGGGATAATTTAGGAGTTGGTGACCTTTGAGGATGTGGCAGTGAACTTCACCGTGGATGAGTGGGCTTTGCTGGATCCCTCCCAGAAGAAGCTCTACCAAGATGTGATGCAGGAAACCTTCAGGTGTCTGGCCTCTCTAGGTAAGGATGACATCATTCTCTTAATTATTTTATCAGAAATAAAGTGTTTCTTCCTTATGAGGGCTACTACATGATATGGAATATGTAAAAGAAATATTTAGTTGTTAGACTAGGTGTGGTCACAATACACGATGAACCTAACTAGAATGTAATAAGGTTTCTATAGTGTTTACTAATTCATACTGATTTACTGGGTTTACATTTTAGGAAAAGAAAGAGACAGCCAGACCAATGAAGATGCATACAAAAATCCTGGGAAAAATCTAAGGTAATCTATATTTAGGAGAAAGCAATGTTGCTCAAGAATGTAGTAATGACAAGTAATTTTAAAAAACAAACAATGCAAATAAACACAGCTTTAAATTGATTTGATTTGAGGAAATTTTCCTTGACTTTTATTCAGGTTAGTATTGTTAATCAGAAAATCAGAAATTCAAAATGTTCCAGCATTAGAAACATATCAGGCTCTCATATTGTCATATGTGATACTTTTCTGATGGATCCACCTAGAGAGACTTTGTTCCATGCACAAAAGTATCAAAAATGTTGTATTAAATTTCCTTTGAGTTTAGGTACAAGGTGTTTATGATATTAAAGTAAATTTTGTGTTTGAGCTAACTCCCTGGATATTTCTTTATTTGCAAATGTTTCAAAATCCAGGTGCTTTTGATCCCCATCATTTCACATAAGGAGTAATGAACCATATTTAATTGTGATATTATATTCAGTATTGGCCAAATAGTTTATTTAGGAACAGTATTAAGATTTTTGCATTATAACATCACTATTTTCCCTGGTAGGGTGGCACACACCTATCATCCCAACAACTAGGGAGGCTGTGTCAATAGGATCACAGTTTCAACGTCAGTCTCAGAATTTTAGTGAGGCCCTAAGCAACTTAGTAAGACCCTGTCTCAAAATAAAAAATTAAAAAGGGCTGGGGATGTAGCTCTGGTAAAGAGTTCCTGGGTTCAATCCCTAGTACAAAAAAAAGCAAAACCCCACTAACCCTACTTCGATGATATTTGTGATTGACCCATACCATAGTGCATGGTATCATTTTTTAAAAATATATATATGTATTGTTTTTAGTTGGACACAATATCTTTATTTATTTATTTTTATTTGGTGCTGAGGATCGAACCCAGGGCCTCGCGCGTGCTAGACGAGTACTCTGCCTCTGAGCCACAAACCCAGCTCTGCGTGGTATCATTTCATGTTCAAAAATTAAGGACATAAAATCAATGCTTTTCCTTATAAGCCATAAAGAAACAAAAGCTTAATGATATACTTCTCATTTTTTTCCAGAAGTCAAGTATTAGGGACACCCTGTGAAGGTAGTGAACATGGAGACATCTTCAGCCAAACTCCACATTATATTGAGAACAATACAACTCTTCCTGGCGCAAAACCAGGTGAAAGCTTTGTGTGTGGAGAAGTCCTCATTGACGATTCATCACCAAATGTGCTTTTCAGATCTCAAACTGGACATAAACCATATGAATATCAGCAATATGAGAAGTCTGTTGTTTATTACCAGTGCTTGCAGGAGCATGGAAAGACTCAAACGGGAGTGGAACAACATGAACATAAGCAATGTGGGACAATCTTAACTTGTCCTGGTTCCCTTCCAATACATGAAAGGATTGACACTGGAGAGAAACCATATATATGTACACCGTGTGGTATAGCCTTCAATAATCACAGTACTCTTCGATACCATGAAAGGGTTCACAGTGGCAGAAAACCCTATGGATGTCAGCAATGTGGTAAAACCTTTAGTTGTTTCAGTAGTTTGGGAAGACATGAGCAAAATCACAATGGAAAGAAACCCCATGGGTGTAAGCAATGTGAAAAAGCCTTCTTTTCTTTGAGTCACCTGCGAAGACATGAACAAACTCACAATGGACAGAAACCTTATGTATGTGAGCAGTGTGGGAAAGCCTTTCATTTTCCCTGTTCCCTCAGAAAACATGGAAGAACTCACACTGGAGAAAAACCCTATGTATGTATAGATTGTGGGAAAGCCTTCAGTGACTCTAGTTCCTTTTATAGACATAAAAGAACTCACACTGGAGAGAAACCCTATGTATGTGAACCATGTGGAAAAGCATTCAGTTGTTTCAGTACCCTTAAAGTACATGAAAGAAGTCACACTGGAGAGAAGCCCTATGTATGTGAACAGTGTGGAAAATCACTCAGTTGTCTCAGTTCCCTTAAATTACATGAAACAATTCATACTGGACAGAAGCCCTATGTATGTAAGCAGTGTGGGAAAGCCTTTAGTTATTCGAGTTCCTTTCGAACCCATGGAAGAACTCACAACGGAGAGAAACCATATGTATGTATGCATTGTGGTAGAGCCTTTAGTTATTCTTTTTCACTTAAATATCATGAAAAAACTCATACTAGAGAGAAGCCCTCTGTATGCAAGGAGTTTGGAAGAACCTTTAGTTCTTTCTGTTACATTAAAATATGTGAAGGCATACACAATGGAGAAAAATCCTATATATGTAAGGAATGTGGAAAAGCATTCAGTCAAACCAGTCATATCATCAGACATCAAAGAACTCACACTGGAGAGAAACCCTATGTTTGTAAGCAGTGTGGAAAAGCTTTCAGTGACTCTAGTTCCTGTCACAGGCATAAAAGAACTCATACTGGAGAGAAACCTTATATATGTGAACAATGTGGAAAAGCATTCACTTGTTTCAGTTCCCTTAAATTACATGAAAGAATTCACACTGGAGAAAAACCATATGCCTGTGAACAATGTGGAAAAGCATTCAGTTGTTTCAGTTCCCTTAAATTACACGAAAGAACTCACACTGGAGAAAAACCCTATGTATGTCAGCAATGTGGAAAATCCTTTGGTTATTCTGGTTCCTTTCGAGACCATGCAAAAATTCACAGTGGGCTAAAACCCTATGTCTGTAAACAGTGTGGGAAAGCTTTTAGTTACTCTAGTTCCTTTCGAAAACATGAAAGAACTCACACTGGAGAGAAGCCCTATGTTTGCATGCAATGTGGGAAAGCCTTTAGTTCTTCCTTTTCCCTTCAAAATCATGAAAGAACTCACACTAGAGAGAAATCTGCTATACGCAAGGAGTATAGAAAAGCCTTTAGTTCTTCCCGTTACATTAAAAGACGTGAAAGAACTCATACTGGAGAGAAACCCTATATATGCAAGGAGTGTGGAAAAGCATTCAGTCGATCCAGTCACGTTCTCAGACATCAAAGAACTCACACTGGAGAGAAGCCCTATGTATGTAAGCAATGTGGAAAAGCCTTTAGTTCTTCTAGTTATATTAAAATACATGAAAAAACACATACTGGAGAAAAATCCCATGTATACAAGCAGTGTGGGAAAGCTTTCGTTCAGTCCAACTATGTTCTCATAGATGAAAGAACTCAAGGGAAAGTAGCCCTGACCAAAGACTGTGGTAAGACTTCTTTCTTAAACTTTCTGTCAAACGTGAACAGTGGAGAGAACTTGTATTAATGTTAAGTATGTGGGGATGCCCGCAGTCATTTTGTTCAGTATATACATATAAATGAACATAGAAGAGATGTGCAAAAGCCTTCAGTTGACCCATGTGTAAGTATTTGCACTGAACAAAAAGGCTGTGAATGTGAAAAATACAAGAAAGTTGTCATTTAACAGAAAAAGTTTCACTGTCCTCTAAAAAGGCCTCTGGACTGGAATTCTAAAGGTGTGATTACTGTGAAGACCTTGATGCAAAATAATTTTGAGTAGAATGCTTCAGAAAATGCACCACCTGAAGGAAATGTACTTGTCATGAATTAATTGTGCTCATCAGTGGTTTTTTTGGGAGAGGGGAGCATCTTGTCTTTTACATGTAGTGTTTATTTTTCCAAATGAATGCAAGCTGTGAAGGGCATGGACATATTTTATAAATATTTCTGCCACCCTCAGTTCCAAAGCCTCAGGGGAGTGCTTGCTTTTGGAGGGATAAAAGAACCAGCCCTGGGACTCCAGTCTGAGTCATCTCTGCCTCTGATGACTGCAGGACCCAATAATTCTATTAACTTCCTTGGGCCTCACATGAAATAGAAGTGAGGTTTTGTTTCACCAAACTCTTAAACAACAGGATGGATAAGAAAAAGCTTTTGTGAGGCAGGATGCAAACATAAAGGAATTGATATTGTTCTCTTTCATCAGGCAGAAGTGGTGATACACAGAATTGGAATGCTCTCAGTGGAAAATGAGTGACACAGGAATTTAGATACTTCAAGTAGACATTGAGACTTCAACCAAAGAGATTCAAGTTTAGAATATATCCTGAATTTCTGATTTTGTTTTAGTAGTCTGCCCACCTAGGCTTGGCTCCATTTTGGCCTGATGTAAATTCTTTTAAAAATCTTTGGTTTGATTTGTTAGTGAGTAAAGCATTCTGATTTGAACCATAATTAAACCTAAAGACTCTGTACCCAGAGTCTGTCCCCCCTTAGGAGGGTGGACTTCTACAAGGACCTGCTGAGGACTGGGTAGAAGAGGTCTGCATCCTGAGTGTCAGTTACCACAAGGTTGAAGTCTCCCTTGGCCCAGGTGATGAGGGTCAGCAAAATGTGAGGCTCCTGAACTACTACTTATTATTTTAGCTTTAGCTTGGGCCCACACTGACTTGGGTAAAGTTCCTGCTGTCGACTGCAGGAAAGATGCTGCAAATGGAGATGGTTGCAGTAACAAACCAGTCTGCCATTTCCACTGACTACAGATCTCTGCTTAGGGTGGCTCCATTAGGTTGGCTCCACTGAGGTGTTTCTGCCTGGCTTGGATTGTGGGACTAGCATGGGGGAGCCATGGCTGAGTTCTGGGGAGTGACCAGTACCATGCTGTTGTGGTTCTTTTCTAGTGTGAATGTCTTAGGGATCTGGCAGGTTGAGAACACAGTGGCCAGAACATCCAGATCATCCACTAGGAGATCCTTACTATCTCAACACAGGGCACTGCTGGACATGGTGAAGGTGTATTCATCCTCATTATCCTGGAATCTGTGGGACTGCCTTTGGTGTGATCCTGGAAGGCCAGAATCCGGCGCGATCATAGCTGCCATCTCTACACTCTTGTACCATTGTGGTAAGAGGAAGCTGCAAAATCCTCAGTTTTGACACAGACCCCACTGGCACAGTGCCCGTTGCCATGGGAAACCTGTATGGCCATGTTGTTCCTCTTGAAGAACGAGGTCCTGGAGCCCTGAGAGAAACTGACACTCCTGCAATTTCTTCTCTCCAGCTCCTGCACTGGTGCAAGTGGAGAGCCTTCTGTGGCACTATGCCTCTAGCTGAGCTGTGCATCCTTCCACACGAGGATTGGATGTGAACAAAGTGGGTTAATTGCAGTGTGATGAGTCAGAGCATTTTCTGTCTTGAAGGAGATGGTAATTGGAGCTGCTAAGCCCAGCTGAAGAAGAGTAGGCGGTTCTGAGTGACCTGAGTAAATGTTTCTCAGGGAGTTAAGTACCTTAGGTACTTTTTAGACAGTGATTTCTTCAGACATCTGAGAACATCACATGGCTGGGGTTCATCTTCCATTGGTGAACATATGGCTTGTGGGCAGGAGCCTAGGCCAGGAGGTTTGTCTCCTGTTTCACGAGCATGTGCTTTCCCAGTCCAAGCCCTGACAGCCCGCCTAACCCAGGCTACACTCTCACACACAGTCCTTAACTCCCAGGCTGCTGCAAAAAATGCCCATCTTTGGAAACCCCAGGCAAATTGGGAAGACCACAGAAGGCCCTGGCCATCCCCAGTGTGGTGCAGGTGAAAGGAAAGGGCTCCAGTGGCTCGTTCTTAATGTATCTCCACCCTGTGTGTGTCTAATGTTTTACTCATGAAAGTATAAAGTTGTGGTGACATACTTTGTTTTGTTAGGCAGTGGTGGATGAATTTAAATTCAAACCAGGTAATGGGGTTTTTCTCCTTTTATTTTGAATCATGTTGGACTCAGGCAAATTGAAGTATATTTCTAATGTCAGAGGACTTAATTTTTATGTAATTATTTTTTTTCGCTTTTTGATGGACCTTTATTTATTTATTTATTTGTGATGCTGAGAATCAAACCCAGTGCCTCACACATGCCAGGTAAGCGCTTTACCACAGAGTTACAACCCAGCCCTATTTTGTATTTTATTTAGAGACATGATCTCTCTGAGTTGCTTAGCACCTCTGGAGTTGCTAAGGCTGGCTTTGAACTCTTGATTCTCCTGCCTCAGCCTTGTGAGCTGCTGAGATTACAGGCATGAGCCACCACACCTGGCTCCGTGTAGTTTTTAAATAATTGTTTTTAATGGACCAATGGGAAAATTAGATTTCATTGTTGGGGTTTTCCTAATAGTCACGTGACAAGTTTTTACCCCTTTATACATACATACATATATAAGTACATATATATATACATACACACACACATACATATATGTATGTACATACACATTTGGTTTTGGGGAAGACAAAGGACTTTTTACATAGATTTTGTATTCACTTTTTGATGTAGATTTTCTTCAAACACAATTTTTTTTTTAATTTGTTTTTTAGGTATACATGACAGTAGAATGTATTTTTACATACTATACATACATGGAGTATAACTTCCCATTCTTGTGGTTGTGTATGATGTGGAGTTACACTGGTAGTGTATTCATGTGAACCTTGGGAGAGTTAAGTCTGATTTATCCCACTGTCTTTCCCATTCCCATCTACCAAAAAATTATTTCTTGTACATTGTTGTTTTTTTTTTTAAATACTTTTCTCAGTGTCTCAAACAACTTTAAGAAATGTCCTTTTTCCCCATTTTTATATTTCCACACAATTTTGTGACAAAATTCAAAATGTAGTGATGATAATAATTGAGTATAATTTTTTTGGATACAGGTCTACTAATGAGAAGAACAAAGTTCTTTTCAGGGGTAAATTTCCTTAACTGTTAAAATTCTAAGTTTAGTTAAAATTTAAAGTTTACCTATCAAATATACCATCTGTGAAGACCATTATAGCTCAAGAGCCATGCAAAATCAGATGACCAGATTTGACCATGCTTTGGTGACTAAAAGACATTTTATTGGGACCATGGAAGAGTTAAAAAGCAGAAGTAAGGGCTGGGGTTGTAGCTAGGTCGTAGAGCACTTACCTAGCCCGTGTGAGGCACTGGGCTCGTTCCTCAGCACCACATAAATAAATAGATAGATGGATTGATAGATAAAATGTGTTGTGTCCGACTACAACTAAAAATATTTTTAAAAAGAAAGAAAAGCAGAAGTAAGCAAAGACTAGGACTGTTCGGTTTTGTAACTTTCCTGGTTTATATGCTTTATTTCACATTTCATCTTTTCCTTAGTGTATACAGGACATCTATTTGTTTGGACATGTATTAGAATTAGCAGAGCCAGGCATGGTCGTGCACACCTGTTATCCCAGCAGTTTGGGAGGCTGAGAGAGGAGGATCATGATTTCAAAATCAGCCTCAGCAATTTAGCAAGGGCCTAAGCAACTCAGTAAGACCCTGTCTCTGAATAAAATATATTTTAAAAAAGGGCTGGGTGTGTGGCTCAATGGTTAATGCCCCTGGGTTCAATCTCCAGTACTCCCCCTCCCAAAAGAATTATTTAGCAGAGATGAAAAGACACAGAAAGAACCTATGTTTAGTTTTGATTACCAAAATAAGTATTTTTTAGTTCCATGTAAGACCAGAGAATTGAAGTCAAACAGAAGTAAGAGAGTTAAACTTTTTAGAATTACGTACATGTGAAAAACTTGGTTAGAATGACTCATTCCCTTGGTTTCACTACGCCATGGGAAGAAACTTAAGCGTTTTCAGGACTTTTTTTTAAATTTGTTTTTCATTTCTTTCAAAAATTATATATATTTTTTGTTTGTATTTGCTTTTAAAAATCTTAGCTGGAGTACAAAACCATAATACATAAGAATGGGATAATGTACTATCCCATACAATATATACACTGTGTGATATTTAAGCCAGGATAAATATTGAAATATTTTTTCCCTGTAAGCCTTTTTTATATCTTTGCAGTGGAACCTTTCAAAAGTCTTCTAGATTTTTAGTATGTATAATACATACCTATAGTTACCATTCTGCAGTAGTACTTCAGAGCTTCTGATTATATGTAATTTTAACTTACCGCCCATTGATCAACCTTTCCCCATACACCACATCTTTCACCAGCGTTTGGTAATCTGCACTTAAATGTCATCTTCTATGAAATCAGCTTTTTTAGAATACATACATGAGTGAGATCATGTGATACTTGTCTGTGTCTGGCTTATTTCACATAGTGTCAAAATCTCCATTTCCATACATGTTGTTGTAAATGACAGGATTTCTCTTTTTTTTTTTTTTTAATTCTTCCTTACTTCCCTAGGGCCTCTTGCATGTTACGCAAGTGCTCTTCCACTGAGCTGCGTATTCAGCCCTGATTTCATTCCTTTAATGGGTTAATAGTCTGCCATTGCAAATAGGTACCTTTTTTTTTTTTTTTTAAGTACCAAGGGTTGAACCTAGGGGCACTTAACCACTGGGCCACATCCCCAGCCCTTTTTATTTTTTATTTTAAGGTAGTGTCTCTGTAAATCACTGAGGCTAGTTTTGAACTTACGATCCTCGTACCTCAACTTTTTTGATTCACTGGGATTATAGGCATGCACCACTGCACCCAGCATGCAAGTATGTACCACATTTATTTTATCCATTTACCGGTTGATGGACTCTTAAATTGCTTCTGTAACTTTGCTATTGTGAATAGTGCTATGATGAATATGGGAATAGAGATGTCTCTTCCAAATTCTGGTTTAATTTCATTTGGATTTAGAGGCAGTAGTGGGATGCTGGTACATAGGTTCTGTTTTTAATTCTTTGAAACACCTCCATCCTCTTTTCCATAATGGCTGTACTAATTTACTTTCCCACCAAAAGTTTGCAAGGATCTTGTTTCTCCACATTTGGGGGTGAGGGACAGGTACTTGGGAGTGCTCTACCACTGAGCTAAGCCCTTTTTGTTTTGAGAAGGTCTTGCTGAGTTATGGGCCTTGCTAAGTTGATGAAGCTGGCCCTGAACTTCAGCCTTCCCTCAGCCTCAGCAGTGGTGCACCACCATGCCCAGTCATTTCTCCACATTCTTGTCAGCACTTGTTTTCGTGTGCCTTTTACATCTTAGCCATTCTTACTGGCTTGAGCTAATAATCTCACTGTGGTTTTGATTTGCATTTCTGTGATGACTAGTGATGTTGAGCATTTTTCCATGTACCTGTTGGCCACTTCCATGTCATCTTTTGAGAACTATTTAGATGTAATGACAACTTTTGAATTGGGTTTTTTTTTTCCTGTTGAGTTTTTGTGTGTTGCAAATATTTTCACACATTATGTTGGTTGAGTATTCTGTGATTCGTGTTTCCTTTGTTGTGCAGAAACTTTTAACTTCAGGTAATCTCATTTGTCTATTTTTGCTTTCATTTCAAGGCTTCTGGGTTTTATCCAAAAAATATGTGCACTCCAGAGTCATGAAGCATTTCCCCTGCATTTTCATTTCGTAGTTGCAGTTCTTATGGTTAGGTCTTAAAGCCATTTGGAGTCGATGTTTATGATTGGTGAGAGAAAGTGACAAACATCTATATCGTCACTCTGCATCTGAAAATTAAGTTTTTTCATTAACATGTTGAAAGACAGCCTTTTTCTAATACATATTGTTGCATTGATAAATGTGTCTCTTGTGTGCTTCTGCCATGCTGTTTTAATTACAACAGCTTTCTCTAGTATGTTTTAAAGTCAGGTAGCTAACTGCCTCCTGCTGTATTCTTTTTTGCTCAAAATGCTTTTGGCTATTAATAGATTTTTTTCTGGGTACCATAAAAATATTAAAATTCTTTTTTATATGTGAAAAATATTTTGATATGGATAGTATTGAATTTGTAAATCACAGTGGGTAGTATGGACTTTTTAACAATATCAGTTCTTCTGATCCATGAATGTAGGTTATTTTCCTGTGTGTGTGTGTGTGTCCCTTCAATCTCTTTCATCAATGTTTTATAATTTTTAATTTTAAGGCTCTTTTCCCTCTTTTTTTAAAAGTCATTCCTAAATATTTTTTTTCTTTTAGCTGTTGTAAATGAGATTGTATTCTTAATTTTTATTTCAGATAATTCATTGTTGGCATATAGCAAAGTTTTTTTTTATGTTGAACTTTCATTCTGTATTATTGCTCAATTCATTTAAAATCTATAACCTTTTTTTTTTCTTTTGGTTGATTTGGATTTTCTATGTATAATCATGTCATCTGTAGACAGTGTCAGTTTTATTTTTCTAATTTGAACACCCATTATTTCTTTTTCTTTCCTTGTCTCTGGCTAGAACTTCTTGCTCTTATGTTGCATAAAAGTGAAACTGGGCATCCTTGATCTGTTTTGTATCTTAGAAAGCCTTTAGCTCTTCCCCCACTCAATATAATGAAAGCTCTTGGCTTATTGTAAATGATTTTATGTTGAGATACCTTACTTTCTGCTTAATTTGATCAGTATTTTTATGATGAAGGAATGCTAAATTTAATCACATACCTTTTTTGCATCAGTTGAGATGACCATGTGGTTTTTGTCCCGTTGGTGTACTGTATCAGCTTTATTTATTTAATATTAATTTTTAGTTGTAGATGAATGCAATACCTTTTTATTATTTTTATGTGGTGCTGAGGATTGAACCCAGGGCCTCGGACGTGCTAGGCGAGCACTCTACCCCTGAGCCACAACCACAGCCCTTACTCTATCAGCTTTATTGATTTGTGTTTATTGAACCATCCTTTCATCCCTGCAATGAATAAAATGTGATCATGGTGAATAATTTTTTAATGTGCTGTTGAATTCAGTGTGCTGGTATTTTGTTGAGGATTTTGCATCTGTGTTCAACACAGATGGATACCAACCTGAAGAATAAAGCTGGCCTCAGAGAATGTCTTTGGAAGTATTCTTCCTATTTCTTCTTTTTTTATTTTTTATTTTTTTGGAATAACTTAAGGAGAATTGGTAAAAGTCCTTTAAATATTTGATAAAATTTAACAGTGAAGCACTCTGATCCTGACCTGTTTGATGGAAGGCTCTTACTCCCCACCCCACCTCTGCTTGATTCTTGTTCCTTTTTATTTTTATTTTTTTGAAGTACTGGGGATTGAACTCAGGACCTCGCTCATGTTATGCTAGTATTACTACTACTGAGCTGTAGCCTTAGCCCCATCAATCTTGCTTCTTGCTTTTGGTTAGTTCATGTTTTCCTAATTATTATTTTTTTAATTTAATTTAATTTTTTTTTTTTTTAGTTGTAGATGGACACAATACCTTTATTTATTTACTTTTATATGGTGCTGAGATCGAACCCAGTGCTTCACACATGCCAGGCAAATACTCAACCCCAGCTCCAGGTTTTCCTAATTCTTTGTGAGTCTGGGCAAGGTGTTGTGTCTAGGAATTTCTTTTAGATTATTAACTTTGTTTGCATATAGTAGTGCTTAACAGTGTCTAATGATGTATTATATTTTTGTGGTATCAATTGTAATGTTTCCCTTTTCATCTTCAGTTTTATTTGAGTTTTCTCCTTTTCTTAAGTCTAGCTAATGGTTTGTCTTTTCTTTTTGAAGAACCATCTGTTTGTTTCATTGATTTTTTTTTTTCTTTTTTGTATTTCTTTAGTGTCCCTTTGATTTATTTATGATCTGATATTTGTTATTTCTTTCCTTCTACTAATTTTGGGTTTAGTTCTTTTTCTGGTTGAGATGCAGGAATAGCTTGATTATTTGAGATACTTGTCCATTTTTTTATTTGGGCATTGACTGCTATAAACATCTGTGTTGTTGATATGTTGTGTCTTCATTTTTATTTGTTTCAATGGAATTCTTAAAATTTCCTTCTTAATTTCTTCAATACATTGGTTGTTCAAAAGTTAAGTCATTTAATTTCCACATGTGTGTATAGTTTTCAAAGGTTTTTACTTTTTTGTTACTGATTTCTAGCTTTACTAAATATATTACATTTTTAGAATTTGTTGTGACTATTTTATGACCTCTCACCTCATTTATTCTGTAGAGTGTTCCATATGCTACTGAGAAAAATTTTTCAGCAGTTGTCAATTGAAGGTTCTGTAGTGTTTTAGGGCTAATTTTCTTTCTTTGTTGATTTTCTGTGGGTGATCTGTTCAGTGTGGAAATATTATGGTATTGGATATTATTTCTTATTTTAAGTCTACTAATACTTTATATGTTTGATATAAATATATGTGATAGTGGGTGCATATAAATATATTTAGAATTGTTTTTCCTTTCTGAATTGACACCTTTGTCATTATCTAATACCTTTGTCTCTTTACTGCTTTTTATTTAAAGTTTATCTGAAATTAGTCTGGCCACTGCTGCATTCTTTTGGCTTCCACTTACTGAGGTGGAATATATTATTCCATCCCCTCACTTTCAGTCTTATGTCTTCTTACAGTTTAAATGAGTTTCATATAACATATTGGGCATTTTTTAATCCATTCATTCTTTCTGTCTTTTAATTGAATATCAATCTTACTGTTATGGTAATTATTGAGGTTTTGTTTTTTTTTTGTTTTGTTTTGTACCAGGCATTAAATCCAGGGGCCCTCAGGGTAATTATGTACTTTGTTCTCTAGTTTTTTATTCACTTATTTTGTGGAACTGGGGATTGAACCCAGAGGCACGTACCACTGAAGTATATCACAAGCCCTTTTTATAATTTTATTTTGAGGCAGGGTTTTGCTAAGTGGCCAAGGCTGGCCTCAAGCTTGTGATCATCCTGCCTCTGCCACCCAGTTACGGTTTGGGATATTATTTCTTACTTTAGGTCTACTAATACTTACTTTATATGTTTGATATAAATATATGTGATACTGCATATAAATATATTTAGAATTAGGATTACTGGCATTCACCACTACACCAGGCTGTTGTTTTCTAGTTTTGTTTATTTCTGTACTGGGAAATAAACCTGGAGCCCCTTTCACTTAGCCACATTACCAGCCTGGACTGGCTTGGAATTTGTAATGTTCCTTCCTCAGCCTCCCAGCTCACTGTGATTATACGTGTGTGCCATCATGTCCAGCATACTGACTCTCTGCTTATGTTAGAGACTTACTTGAAGGTTAACCAAAGTATTCAGATTCACTGTTTTTATTACTTGCTTATTGTTTTCCTCCCTGTTATGGATTTTTGTTTTTGTCAATTCTGTGAGTAATAACAAAAACTATTGAGGCCGGGGGCAATGGCACACTTCTGTAATCCTAGGGGATCAGGAGGCTGAGGCAGGAGGATTGCAAGTTCAAAGCCACTCTCAGCAACAGTAAGGCACTAAGCAAATCAGTGAGGCTCAGTCTCTAAAATAGGGCTGACGATGTGGCTCAGTGATTGAGTGCCCCTGAGTTTAATCCTCAGTATCCCCCAAAAAAATTTATTGAATATAAAGCTACCTTGAAATGATTGCAACATTAACTTTGTCATAAGGATATGAATAGAGACTAACAAAAGGAGAAAATGTAGTCATAACAAAACTCTGCTAGAGTGTTTTCTTTTCTTTACAATATGCTTTATTTACTGAGAAAATACCTGTAAATAGCCCATCATAATCACTGATAAATCAAGTGTGTGAGTTGTATTTCCTTTCATGTCAATATACATTATCATGTGTATAAAACTAAAGATTATTTTCCCACCTAATTTTCATTCTTCCTGCTTATATGTTATAGTTTTATAGCTTTTCTTTTTATCATAATTTGCCCTTCACTCAACAAACCCAAAAAGACATTTTGATATTGTGAGTGGACTCTTGCCAGAGACTGCCAGAATATACCTTTGTCATATAGAATGTGTTGAATTGCAGTAATTACTTTCTTCATCACAAATGATTATTTATGTGGTTCATTAGTAAGAGCATTCTCCTAGACCTCCTGACAGGATTTGCTGTTTTTCTAGGGGGACTGATGACTTTTCAGTATAGTGAGGCATCTCCATCTACTAGATGAACTGGCAGGGTTGAGTGCACTCCTGTCTGGTAACCATAATAGTTTCTGACTTGGAAGGCAGCAATAATGGGGTGAAGGGAACCCTAATTCATGAGATGTACCAGTCACTTCAGTGAGAAAAGGGAAACTTTGCTCCTTTTCATGATTCAGAATATGTTCTGTTTCACCAGTTTTACAGGCACATTGTCAGAAGTATGTGTCATAATTGGCTGGAATATGAATTTGACTCCAGGTTTCAGGATCTGGTTTTGCCTTTCTTACTTACTATCTAAATAGTAATTTCCTACAATGTATTTTACAGTGTTCTCCATAAATATAAATTAACTACTGATATGGTTCCATTCTGATAAACCCATGGTAAGTTAACACATAAGTGAACAAATGCATTTAATACACCTAGTGAACCTCAAAGCTGAGCCAAACCTATCTCACATATACTCACATGCATTAGCCTACAGCTCACTGCTATTGCCCAACAACTCAGGAGGCTGAGATATGAGGATCCCCAGTTCAAGGTCCTCTCTGAAAAACTAATTAATAATTCTGGGGATGTAGCTCAGTTGTAAACTGCCCCTGGATTCAATCCCCAGTGCAAGGGAAAAAAAAAAAAGTGTGATGCATATTGCTACTGGAGATTGTAGCCAGGGATGCTTTACCATTGAGCTATATCCCCAGGCCTTTTTACCTTTTGTTTTGAGACGAGGTCTGCTTAAGTTTCAGGCTAGTCTTGAACTTGGAATTCTCCTACCTCCCGAGTTGCTAGGATTATAGGTGTGTGCCACCATGCCTGCTCCAGTAATTCATTCTTAAAAGTAGATCTCTATATTGTGTGTTTCTATTTTTATTCTTGAAAATAAACTTTGAGGTGGTATACTTCTGCAAGTTTTGATTAGGCATTAGTATATGAGTTTAATAGGTAACTGTCTTTTTAAATCAAACTGGATGGTAAGTCTTCTTTCATTTTGAACTATGTAAGTGTGTGTGTTTGTGTGTACATTTTCAGGAAACAAATGACATTTTTACGTTTTAGGTTTTTTTACTTTTTGATAATATATTTTCTTCAGATTTCTGTAGATTTTTTTATAAAGAATTTCTTAACTCTTTCAAACAATTTGTAGATTAATATATTTTTCCTATTTTTTTTAACTTTCTCTAAATTTTATTGGAAAAATTCAAATATATATACTTTTTTTGTTTGTTTTGTATCATGGCTTGAACCCAGGGGTGCTCAAAAAATAAGCCACATCCCCAGCCCTTTATTTTTTTGAGACAGGGTCTCACTACATTGCTTAGGGCCTCACTAAGTTGCTGAGGCTGACTGAATTTGCAATCCTTCTACTCACCCTCCTGAGCCATTGGGATTATAGGCGTGCACCACCGCACTCAGTTCTCAAAATATATTGATAATAATTGAGTACTATTGGGGTGGGTATAGATCTATTGAGAAGAAAGAAATTCTCAGATACTAATTCCCTTCCCTGAGTTCAAAATTAAGTCTTCCCTGTTATCAAATTGATTACAGGTATCTGTGAAACCAATCTTAGCCCAAGGGCCCTGCAAAATCAAATTGCCATATTTGCCCTGTAGAGCATATAGTTTGATGACTAAGAGATGTTTTTCTTTCTTTTTTCTAGTACAGAGGCCTCATACTTTATAGGTAAGTGCTATACCACTGAGTCATATCCCCAGACCTGTTTCATTTTGGAATATGTCCAAGTTGTCAAGGCTCAGCCTCCCATGTAGCTGGACTTTCACTGGCTCAGCTAAAACTTTTTATTGGGGCCATGCAAGAGTTCTTACCTGTCAGGCAATTGTATTATGTTCCTTCTCAACTGTAGTTATGGGGATAGGTGTAGATTCTGCTAGCACCAGGCTTGGATCCCACTGATATCAGACCTCCTTTTCAACCACAGATATCTTGTTAGCTTATAATTGAGCAAAAAGATATCCATACAACCCCAGATTGATAACACCTTTGAGCCAGCTCCAAATAGTTTCTCATGCAGGTGCACCGAGAGTCAATGTAACCTCTACTTTACCTTCTTGCTTATTATGGCTCATTACCATATGTAATCCCTCCTCCTTTAGCTGAATAATTATATGCTAATGAGTTGAGTGGAGTTCCATGAAGTTACCTCCCTGTTCCAAATAGTCAACCCCTGATGTTACTATCAGTTCTAAACAACCACAGCCCTTCTAACACTGGAGCTGCTCAGCTTTCAGGTATGCCTGCATGCTGTTCCTAGTGCGTGTACCTTTCCTTTGCAACAAAACAGTTGTTCTTTTGCTGTAACCTGACTTGTCCTTAAGTTCTTTTTGGTGGTTTGGCTTGCCTGTAATCCCAGTAGCTCAAGAGGCTGAGTCAGAAAGATCACATGTTCAAGACCAGCTCCAGCATCTTGGTCCCTAAACAACTTTAGGCGACCCTGTCTCAAAAAATACAAAAGGATTAGGGATGTAGCTCAGTGATTAAATGCCCCTGGATTCATTCCCCAGTATAAAGACATAAATAAAATTATATTTGATGGCATAGTTAGGAACCTAGAAAGATTTCACTGGAGGTCTGCTCTGTCTCTGGACAACTCTGCAAACCCCTAACTGGTGACAGTTTTCCTTCCTTGGCAAGCCAACAGGTAGTAAATTGAAGGCAACAGCACAAACTGGTGAGTGGCCAACGTTTTTCTAGCATATTCTATTTAGTCTGCTATCCCTCCACTAGATAAATTTTCTGCCCCCCCCCCCCCCCCCCCGCCGCCCTTTTGCCTGTTTTGTTTCCTCTTAAATCATTGTAGCCTTGCCTCTTCTAGTTTGGAACGTCTGTGAGTGCCTGATTGTAAGCATTCATTCCTTCCAACTCAACAGGGAGAACATGTGAGGGGGAACACCCCGCATGTGCAGCACCGTCTCAGGGAAGCTCCAAAGGAACACTTTATTTCTGGGTGTGAGGAACATCCCTGGCTCATCTTGGAAGGTACACACAGGTTGATCACCAGTGTCTTGAGGGAAAGAAGAGGTGTCCATTAAATTAGATTTTTTGTTTTGTTTTATTTTGAGGTGTAGATGGACACAACACAATGCCTTTATTTTTATGTGATGCTGAGGATCAAACTCGGTCCCACCCGTGCTAGGCGAGCGCTCTACTGCTGAGCCACAATCCCAGCCCCTAAATTAGTTTGTTGTTGTTTGTTTGTTTGTTTTTTAAGGCATCTAGAGAAAACGTACCTGATGCTGCTCACACTGCTCTGACTCTGAAGCTCAACCTTTTCTAGCTTTTGCATTTACTTGCAAAGGCTTGTTACTAAGCTTTCGGGACAATCTTTTTTGACTTTCCAAGGTCATCTTTGGAATCACCCCCACCCTAATCTTACAGAAGATAACTCTCCTCTCTCACACACTAAAGGTCTCTGCCCTTGGACTCATTTTCTGGTAGATCCCTGCTCTCACCTTATCCAGGAGTTAGCTTCCCTGCCCACTTCCTCTCCTTCCATCACAACACTGGCAGACTTGGCATCCTCGATTGCTCTGGCAGTGGTGTGGGGATAAGACAGTCACTAAGTCCAAATTTTTTCCATTAGGAAGCTCCTATTTTCCTCAAACCTCTCACCAGATATTTGGGGGAGTGTTCAGGGTATTTATCCTTTTACCCTGCTGAACCATATGAATAATTATGAGGGTGAATACAAATTATTTCCATCACTGAAAATTGCATTCAAGATTCTTACAGGGCCCACCAAAACTGACTCTTTTATTCTGACATTGTTCTTTTTTCAAGAACCCTGATGGAGCTTTGTGGCTCTTGTAAATGGGCTTTGAGAATGCTAAGCAGATTCTGGGTCTCTAGGAGTACTTGGGTACCACAGTATTATGTTTAGGGATGCCTAACATCCTTAACCTTCAGGAGGATTGCAAGCCAGACCTGTGTAGGCCAAATCCACAGTAGATTGCTCTTGAACTTGGTCCATAGGGGCAAGGATCTCTTCAGGAGATGATCATTTGGTTTTTTTTCTCTTTCAAGCCTAAGAAGGTTTAAATACCAGTTCATGACCAAGCTGAGCTTTTTCAAAATGGTTGGTGCCTCACCTCACCCATCCTAGCCAGTTCCCCTTTGGGGTTTTGTTTTGTTTGTTTTTTGTAGTAGGGATTGAATCCAAAGACAGTAAGTATACCACTAAGTATATTCCTGGGCCTTTTTAGTTTTTTGTTCCAAGACAGATCTCACTAAATTACAGAAGGTCTTGCTAAGCTCTGGCCTTGAATTTCCTGCCTTCCTGCCTCAGCCTTTCTAGTCACTGGGATTACGGACATATACCACAGTGCCCAGCTCCTTTGGGGTTGATTAGAAAAGTAAACCACAGGTCAAGTAAAGTCTCTTAGCTACATGTAAGATAAATGGCTCATCATCTAAGGCTCACAGATTCAAGAAAAAGGTTGGTTTTGTCTTACAGTACTTCAAGATCTCAATACAGATTGGGAATTGGGGAAATTTGACTTCCCAATGGTTCTCTGAATTAAAATACAAGGCCCAAATTGAATCTCCTGCAAGGGAGAGGAAAACTGGACAGAAGTTCCCTATGTCCAGACCTTCATGGTCTTGTACCAGGACTCTGGGCTGTAGTCATGTTTCTTGCCAGAAGCCAGGAAGAATGTTCTGAGTGAAAATGCTGTGTGTCAACAAAGCAGGCCTGTGGAGCTGGGAGTCCAGCCTCTCCCACATAAGGGGACTACCAGTCACTTCTCAGTGCCATTCAATCCAATTGCCCCACCTGTTTGTCCTCCCTAGTTGCTTATCATATCAGAGAAAAGCAGGCAGACATATACCTCACTCCATAGTGGGGCCCCAGAACAACTACCATGTGTCCACTCTAGGAAGTCTCCAACGCAGATGGTATCACTTGGATATATTCCCCTTTCTCTAGACTTGATGCAAACAAAAACTAATGATGACTCTGATGGGATTGAGGCAAATTGATTAGTTACAGGTGCTGTGACCTTTAATCTTACCTGGGGTGATCTGTTTTTAGTGTTGTCCACCTACTGTACCCTAGAGGAGAAGGTTCATACCTGGGGCAAGGCTCAGGCTTATGCTGAAGGTGTAGTGGCCCTGGATTTCAGTCAGGGAGTAGGAACTACTGCAGGACACACCCAGGATCCTAATTGGATTGGTAGCCAGGGTATACCACCCTGTTTCAATACACAACCACACCAGCCAGGGTCACTCAAGATGAACTAGGCTGACACGAAAGAATCACACAGAGTCAGAGAAATACCTTTTCCTTTGGGTTCTGTGATGGCTCCTCTGACCCAGCTCCCACAAAGGTGGCAAGACAGCATGCCTCGAACCCAGGGTTTATTGGAGGAGGCTGTTCCATGGAATATTCTATCCCCAAAAAGGCAAAGGGGTAGGATTACAAAGGAACAGGTGAGTGTAACTCAACCCCGGAGGGTGACACCTACTCCTGGAGCATGCTTTGTTATCTAAGCTGGGGTAACGCCCCCCAAGTTACTGTGACCTGGCACTGTCGCCCAGACTGAAGGCATAATTGTTCAGTGGCTTGGGACATCAGGACTTAAAGTCATCTGCATCCAAGACAGCTCCCAACACCAACCTTTCTCATTGGAAACACATGATGACATTTAATTAAAGGAATGAAAATGTGCATGAGCAAATAAATTATGAAAAGGTCACAGAAATAACTCGGGAAAAGGATGACATTCATTGCCAGTCTCCTGATTCTATCAGCACTAAAACCAAATGGGGAATATCTGCTACTCCAAGGTTTTCCTTCAATTAAGGAGGCAGTTATCCCACTCCATCCCACAGTCCTAAACCTATACACTGGTTTGACTTGTTTACCAGTAGGCCTGGATGAGTGAAGTGTCTC